ATGATACTACAGCTGATAAAGGAAATGATACTACAACTGATGAAGGAAATGATACTACAGCTGATGAAGACAATGATACTACAGCTGATAAAGGAAATGATACTACAGCTGATAAAGGAAATGATACTATAGCTGATAAAGGAAATGATACTACAGCTGATAAAGGAAATGATACTATAGCTGATAAAGGAAATGATACTATAGCTGATAAAGGAAATGATACTACAGCTGATAAAGGAAATGATACTACAGCTGATGAAGGAAATGATACTACAGCTGATGAAGGAAAAGAGCAGGTGCAGGACCATGCAAATAAAGTTAAAGTCAATGAGCACGGGATGAGTAAAGATGATGAACCTGAAGAAACCTACCGACTCTCTCCTAATCAAACACTTAGGGAAATAAAAATAAACATGTAATCCTATACATACTGACATACATAAAAGGTTAGCCACAAAGGATGTGACTTCCGAGACGTCTGTACGGTTTTTTCGTCTTTTTAGAACTGTAAACGCATGTATTTCTTTGTACACTTTTCTAGTGTACCAAAGAAAGACTATTTGTTTGCCAGAAACCCAAAGAAAGTTTTCAAAACGCGTTAACTAAAGAGTTTCTGGTTCTCAATAAAGAGTTAACTAAAGAGTTTCTGGTTCTCCATAAAGTCTCATCCTTTGTGTGTGAGTGTGACCTTGTATAGTTGGATGTCATTTCATTAGAAAAATTGGATGCAAATTTCATTCGGAAAATTGGATGTAAAATTTCATTCGAAAAAAAGTATCACATTAAAACCGCCTTTTTATAAATTTTAGACATTATTAATTAACGATTTGTGGAACTAAGCAGTTTTGGTTAAAATACAAAAGGGACGGATGAGTCTTAAAGTGTAGACTCACTAAGGAAGAGGAAAGTTTAAGAATTCTATCCGACCAATTTTAAATAAACCAATCTTAAAATCAAAAAAAAAATTTAAGAACAAAAAATTTTAATTCCTAAATTTAATATTATTTATTTTGTTTGCGAAGAACTCTGTTGGTTGGGGAAGAGGAAGAAACTAGGATTGATGAGGTCACCAGATCTAAGATATAAAAATTTCATAAAGAAAATTTTCTAGTTCAAAATCCAAATTTGATGTGTGTGGAGATATCTACATATTGGTCGAACCAACAGAATTTGTTATTTCTCAGATTTGACAGTTTACATAAATCCTAACATTTCTAAAAGGAAAATATCCAAAATAAAAGAAAAAGGTTTGATTAAAGTTTAATATTGTTGTATAAAAAGGAATAATATACAGGGTGTCCCAAAAAACATGGGAATTCAGTAACGAATTCGATATCGTATTTGTTATGAATAAACATTGTAATACAAAATTTGAACATATCAGACGAAATTCTTACAGATTACAGCTTTCTCAGTAGGTATCACTATACTAAATCAAAGAATTATTTAAAAAGACGATATCGAATTCGTCACTGAATTCTCATGTTTACTGAGACACCGTGTATATATTTGCATAATTTTAACGAGCAGAAAACCTGGCATATCCGATAAACATTTGTCTAATCCAAAATTAATGAAATATCCTGATTTTTCTTGTTAAAAATTTTTGTTATCAATTGTGGTCCCTTTTTAAAATTCACTTGTGGAATTATTCTGCAGAAACAATAAAGGACATTGTCAGAAATAAGCGAGATAAACGACGATATTTTATATCATTGCTACTCAAATAAATGGAGGGTTACATGTATGTATAACGTCTATAGTCAGGGGCGTATTCAGGAATTTGTTCAGGAGGGGGGTTAATTTTTTTTTCTTTCCAGGGGGGCTCAGCACACGTTGGGGCCTGAAAACCCCCTGAAATCAATAGAATTCACTGGTCCAGGGGGGGGGGCTTAGCCGCCATAGCCCCCCCCCCCTCATTGAATACGCCTCTGTCTATAGATTTGAATATTTTCTAAAATTTTAGGAAACTACAACTTGGGATCCTGAAGATACCACTTACTGGTTCAACCACGACACTAGCGACAGTGGCCAAACTTGGAACTATGCTGGAAGTAAGATTTTGATAAATCCTGATGGTTTTTCTTAAACGCACATGTGTAACTTGAATATCCAGGAACTGAAGATCGTCCTTGCTACCAGAATATTTTTGTTACTCCTGCATAACTTGAATGTCTAGTGAATAAAGGACGTCCTTGCAACCAGAATATTCTGGTTACTCCTGCATAACTTGAATATCTAGAGGCTAAAGGTCGTTCTTGCTACCAGAACATTATGGTTACTCCTGTATAACTTGAATATCTAGAGACTAAAGGTCGTCCTTGCTACGAGAATATTCTGGTTGCCCCTTTATATCTTGAATATCTAGTGACTTAAGGTCGTCCTTGCTACCAGAACATTCTGGTTACCCCTGTATAACTTGAATATCTATAGGAGCTGAAATACCTATATGGGTTCTTGTAATCGTATCCTTCTTGCTCTCCTCTGGCTTCATCCTTTATATGAAGGTGAGTTGTAATGAGACATATCTTGGTTACTTTTTCAGTTTTTTTTTACACTTTATAAATACTGTAAACTTCCAACATTTTAAATCTGTTAATATTTGCTTACTATTGGGTTTTTTTTGGTTCGTCTTTTAGCATATATTTTCTCTCAGGGTCAAAATCTGCGTAAGAAGTGTAAAAAAGGCAAATACAGGGTGTCCCACAAAACATGACAGTTGGTGAATAGTTTTAAATGTCTTCTTCCACAATTTGTTAAGTTCTTTGATACAAAAGAGATTAATTATCATTTAAAAGAAGTTTAACATGGCAGGATCATAGTAAAATTGATTTAAAAGTAAAATATATTTGAGTAAAGATTTTTCTAACGAAATAAACTGCGAAAAGTCTTTAGTCTCTAATATAGTATACGGAAGAAGACATTCAAAACCATTCGCCAGCTGTCATGTTTCGTGGGACACCCTGTATATTCGCCAGCTGTCCTGTATATTCGATTTTGAAATTTGTTAAACTTAAACGTTTTAAAAGTCTAAAAACCTCAAGTTAAAAAAGAAAAAGTTATCACTGTATAAAGACGACTTAAAACTCTTTAAATCTTAAGATTGAAATAAATATTTTGCATCTAGCATTTAAATTATAAAATAAATTTGCAACGAAAAGTTCCAAGCTAAAGATTAAAAGATTAAAGGAAAAAGCAAGTTGCAGCTCTAAAATCTTCTTCTTTACAAAACGAAAATTCCAAATTTTACAGTTTAAACTTATATTTTAATTTATAAACTGGAGTTAACTCTAAAGTATTTAGAAAAGTTTGTTTAAAGCTTGGTATATGTAGAAATAGAATATATTTCCTTTCAAATATAATATTACGATGATATTTAAATATTTTTATAGAACCTAACTTTCCCAGTTTCAGCCCAAGCTGGTTGAATTCAGTGTCAGCATAAAATGCTCAAAATTTAAATAATTTAATGAAATTTCACAGTTCTCTATTCATCGACCAACATTCTTTGAACAAGTAGAAATAGACTTTGAATTGAATTTAATTAATTTAATGTAGATTAAAGCAGTTTTATATGAATAAATTAAAAATAAATAAATTGTTTGAAACCATTAGAACTTAAATATTTCAGGTTTTTCAGCCCGAAGCATGGAACAAGGAAAAAAAACTAATAATACTTTTCTCCTTTTTAAGCATTAAATGTATATTTTGTTATGTAAAGATAGAAAATTTTTAGATTTATTACAAAATATTTTTGTTCGCTACTCTCACATTTCGATTGTCTTTTTTTATTTACATATTTTTCCATTCAGAGAACAGATTATTTTGGGACATTTTTAAATATTGATCTTAAAGCAACGCAGATACTTGACAATTAACTTTCTATGAAAAGGATAAAATTTCAAAAAAAGTTCAGTCATCATGATGATAAGTTTTTCCCGTCTCGAATGCTTCTTGTTAATATCACTATATTTACGTTAATTCACATTTGAGGAAAATATCTGCTGTGATTCGTGCTTATTAGAATCTACTGACGCTGGATGAAAATTCAGAAGCACCAAAAGCAAAATTAAAGCCCGAGTTCTTCTGGCATGCATGTTGATCAGAAATTTTGATCTATATTTAGATTTAGTTATTTTTCAACCATTTTATGTTGCAAAGTCAGTTTTTCGTATTTAATATTAGATAGTTTAAAGATGGCCGCATGTTGTAAATCTGGGAAATTATTTTCCAAACCAAATGTATCCACGAGGGATCTCAGGAGGTGGCGTTGTCCAAAGATGGCCGCTCCTTCATCAAGTTGTATGAGTAAAAGAGGAACTTGTTGGAAAGGAATCTGTTGCGTCTCTAGTTCAAGGAATAATTTATTTATCATATTATTATATTTATTCGACAGTTGGAAGACGACATGAAGATCGTCGTTGTTTTTTTGATGTTTTACGGTATTCATTTGTCAACCTACTTTTCCATTTGGTCGATTCTTGACTAGGAGTATTTTGTGATTATCAATTAAAGAATTTTACTGTGTAGTTATTTCGACGACAATTTTTTTGACTGTCATGGTTTCTTTAGACACCCTGTTCAATCCCATTTTTTGTGTTTTTTAAGTTTAACAAAAAATAAATAAAGCTTATATCATAGACGAACTAACGACATGTGCTTCCTGTGTTTGAACGATGTACCGAACAAGGAATGGGAAACACATAGAAGAGTTTGTGCACTCCGCAATCAGGTATGTGTTCCAGGAGTTTCAGGAGTTCCTGGTGTTCCAGGAGTTCAAAGAGTTCAAAGAGTTTCTAGAGTTCTTGGAGTTCCCGGAGTTTCCGGAGTACCCGGAGTTCCAGGAGTTTCCGGAGTTTCCAGAGTTTCCGGAGTTTCCGGAGTTTCCGGAGTTTCTAGTGTTCCAGGAGTTCCAGGAGTTCCTTGAGTTCNTGGTGTTCCAGGAGTTCAAAGAGTTCAAAGAGTTTCTAGAGTTCTCGGGGTTTCCTGAGTTCCCGGAGTTCCCAGAGTTCTAGGAGTTCCTGGAGTTCCAAGAGTTCCTGGAGTTCCTAGGGTTCCTTGATTTCCTAGTGTTCCAGGAGTTCCAGGAGTTCCTTGAGTTCAAATAGTTCATAGAGTTCCTGGAATTCCTGGAGTTCCAGGATTCTTTTCTGTTTTTTTTCATATTCATTTTATGCTTTTGATTTATATTTCATGTTTCCATTGCACTGAAGATTAAAGGGATTGGAGACGTAACACTCCCCCCCCCCCATTTAAGGAGTGGCATGACACTTTTAATAGAAACTTAATAAACTTTTAATTGAAACCACAACTAAAAATAATACATTTTTACCTTATCATATTAGAATATCTCATTTGACCTTGATCAGACAAAGAGTAAACGAATAGAATTCAAAGTTTAACTCTGCTGCTTTCGAATACAAATTAACCTTATGCATAAATTACATACGATAAAAGAAAATCTCAATACCACATTTTTTTCCTAAATCAACCAAACAAAACTTTTTAATCATTGATCTTTAATTTCTGATAAATTTCTTTGTTAGCTGTTAAAGAAATAATAAAACAAGTTTCTTCTTGTAAAAGCAGAAATTCTACTACCAATTGTAAATTGTATTTTTCTTTTTTCTTGATTAAGTGGGTGAGATAAATTAGAACGACATACTTTACATCTCCTGGAGTTGAAACATACTTTACACCTCCTGGAGTTGAAACATACTTTACACGTCCTGGAGTTGAAATATACTTTACACCTCCTGGAGTTGAAACATACTTAACACCTCCTGGAGTTGAAACATACTTTACACCTCCTGGAGTTGAAGCATACTTTACACCTCCTGGAGTTGAAACTGACTTTACACCTCGTGGAGTTGAAACATGGAAAATAGAAAATACAATCCTAAATTCTTTTTACTTACAAGTAGGGTTTCCAATCGGAATTCTGTTGAGCGGAATTGCGCGCAATGGTTGCTTCCGCTTGCGGTATTTCATTGCGCGCAATTGCGCTATAATTGCGAAAAAGGAAGCAATTAAATATTCGCGGAATTGCGTGGAATTGTGAGGAATCAAGTGCATCGGAATTTCTTTTTTATCTTAAAATCAATAATTTTAACTGTTCGACTTACAAATTTATGCAGCAGATACAAGAATGGACTTAAATATCTTTGTTGAATTTAAAAGTAATCGAGGCCCGAGTGTCACTTGTTTAAACGTTTTCAAATTTTAAAGTTTCTTGTTGAGCTACTAATTAACAATTTAATATGATACATTTTTCATTTGTTAACATTTTTGAACATTAAAATGGAAACTTTTCTTGGTTAAAATAGTAAGGTTCGTTTTATCAAAATTAGATATTTTGCTACAGTGAGAACCAGAAAGACAACATCACAGTGTATTTGATGTTGTTACAAGTGGAACAAAATTAATAAGTAACTTATTAAGTCAATTATCCAGTTACATGGGTCTGCTTGAGTATAAACTGTCGTCTTCTCATGCCAGAGTTTTCTGGTTATCATGCTGCACTAGCTGCATATGAATATTATAAAACAAAAGATAAAGTTTAAATTCAATTTTCTTAGCGTTTGAGATTGAAATGTTAGTGAAGTTCAGTTTATTGTATGTCAATACCAAAGTTTAAATTGAATTTTTGTTGTTGAAAGGAATTACGCAATAATTAATTGCTTTTATTGCGTGCCATAAGGTTTAAATCGAATTTTATCAAAAGATTGAGACACAAGCGCAAGAAAGTTGGACGGAATTGCGCGCTATAGCGCGCAATTGCGCGCAATTCAATTGCTTTTATGTGCGCGCAATTAAATTCACTTGCGCGCAAGTAAAATACACTTGCGTTTGAAACCCTACTTAGAAGGGATCTATGTTTGCAGGAAAATTATGCGAAATTTTACGTCAGAATTATCCTTTTTAGCTACAGAACCGCTTGTACTTGTTTAACAGTTAACTGCAAGCTATTTTATATTTAATGTTTACTCTCTAGAAGTCACAGAAAATAGATAAATAAAATCGATTTTTTATAACCACTTTGGACATAGAATATTCGGTATTTCGATTTTTACATATAGCGTCAGCTGTATTGAATTCACATTGTGCGCCAGCGTTTTCCCCCGTTTTAGGGCAATTCAGTATTTGACAGATTTGCACAAAGAGTTTTCTGGCCTCGTTACTGAGTCAACGTTTTGTAGGGTACCTTTGTAAATCGGAAATTTCTATCTTGAGGTTACGTTAAACTGTCCCTTTAGACTAAAACAATATTACAAAATAAAAAAAATCAGAATAATTTTTAAGATATTTTTAATATTTAGGATAAACTTGACAATCTGTCTTCACCCTCTCCAGTACCTTGCTTCAGGTTTATTTATTATAAACTAGCTGGAGTACCCGGCGTTGCCCAGGTTTATATCATTATTTGTATAATTAATATCTTCCTCATTTTCCTAAGACGAAGGTTTGTAGGGTACCTTTAGAATCGGGCATGCCACTCCCGAGAGTCTTTTGAAACTAAGTCCACGTCACTGAACAGTCAACAGTCTCTTATATCTGGGGTTTTGGATCAGTTTAGTTAAAAATAAAACCCCTTAAAGGGACTGTGCGCGTATTTCAAGTGACCCCAATGTAAAGATGACAATGCCCGATTACAAGGGCCCCCTTGAAGTATGATCTAGATATATTAATATTTTTGTCTCTTTAATCTGTTTCTTTTCAACTGTGGTTTCTCTGCGAAAATGACTCGCGCATTCCTTGTTTATAAGAAGCAACGAAGAAACTGCAGAAATATACACTATTCAAGTCAGAAAAACAACAATATCTTCCACATTTTTGACCAGATTAAGTTTCATAGGGTAACGTTATTAATCGGACATTGCAGTGGAGGGTCACTTGATATTACGCGTACAGTCCCTTTAATTAATGGTTCATCCCATAATAAAAAAGCCTGTATGTGCAAAAAGAGGGGGGGATGCTTTATTTCCGGTTGTATATGCTATACGTCATGCTATTTATTGTTTTTGTTACAATTGAAGTATTTTGTTTTAAAAAATATAATATATTTTATTCAAATTATTTTTATTCAAATAAAATACAATCGCAATGTTTAAAAAACACATTCAAGCACCAAAAAAGGAAAAAATATATTTCTGAATTCTGAATTCTGAATTCAACCTGAAAATTATTTTTGTAAATTGTTCAGCGGTATAAAAAAAACTATTTTTCAACGGAACATTTTTCAGTTTTTAATCAATGCTATACAATCTGAATTCTAATAGTGTCTATTTCCTATTGAATTTGTCTGATATCAAGGTTAGACATGAAATGCATGTTTATTGAAAATAAAAGTAAAAGTTATGGACTATGTCAAAATATTTTTCTACCCCTCTGCTAGCAATTTATATTTTCAGTTTTATTTTATAAATTTTCGAACCAAACTAAGAGAAATTCAACGAAGTTCCCACATAAAACTTGGAGGCAAATCGGTCATGATTAATGGCGCGGGGACAAACAAACAATCTAACAGACAGATAAATAGAGACTACTTTGTATCAAAGATTCTAGGATATTAAGGTTAAGGATTTTTTGAACCTCTGTTTATACCTTCAAAGAAAGAATCAGAAATGATGACATAAAACTCTTAAAATTAAACAATCTACTAGCTAAAATTTGTCTATTTTGCCGTAAATTGTTCAATTAAGGTATTTTAGCTGATTTACAACAGAATTCATTTGTTTGTAATAACGTATATGTATCGCTACCGGTGTTAGAGCATATTTAATTTAAATAAACTATTTTCAACATATTAAAAAGCAAGAAGAGTATTAAAAAATATTGCACTGCCATTGGTGCAAATTCTGGTCCATGGGGTAGACAGTGTATACATTCGTATTTATATATATCAAGTTGTAATCTCTGTTTGTCTGTCTATCTCTTTGTCCGATCATAACTCATAAACCCCTTAACCGATTTGCCTCAAATTTGTATTGGGGAATTCGGGAGGCCCAAGGGAATGTTCATAACTCGACTTTAAGATTCTAAGTTGAGTGGGTAGACTTTAAAAACGAAAATTTAGTTTCCCGTTAAAAAAGTTTAAGTGCGGATAAACGGCGGAAGTAACTTTTAGTAACCTTGGCAGCGCTGGGTTCCCAAGCTAGTTATTTATATCATCAATTATATCTATTAAAAATGAAAAAGTAATATATTCAAATTATAGGAGCTTACCTAAACTGTTTAGGCTCCTCCAGGTTATAGTAATTCTCAGATTCGTTGCGTATTTGCTGAATAAACTTTGATTCCTATACCACATCTCATATATATAAGCTTTGGTAAAACGTTGAAACAGTTTAATATCAATTTCTCGAAACAGGAACATCAATTAGAATTCATACAGGTCGCGATCAACTCCTAAAGTGTTTAGGTTTCAGCGTTTACCACTTTTCATTTTTCCTGTACAGTTCCTTTAAGCCTATGGTCCCCTTCAGTTTCCTTTACAGCCCCTTTAAGCCTATGCTCCCCTTCATTTTTTTCTTTACTGTCCCTTTAAGCCTATGCCCCCCTTCATGTTTCCTTTACAGCCCCTTTAAGCCTATGATCCCCTTCATTTTTCTTTACAGTCCCTTTAAGCCTATGCTCCCCTTCATTTTTTCTTTACAGTCCCTTTAAGCCTATGCTCCCCTTCATTTTTTCTTTACTGTCCCTTTAAGCCCATGCCCCCTTTCATTTTTTTCTTTACAGTCCCTTTAAGCCTATGCTCCCCTTCATTTTTTCTTTACAGTCCCTTTAAGCCTATGCTCCCCTTCATTTTTTCTTTACTGTCCCTTTAAGCCCATGCCCCCTTTCATTTTTTTCTTTACTGTCTCTTTAAGCCTATGCCTCCTTCATTTTTCCTTTAAAGTCCCTTTAAGCCTATGCCGCCCTTCAATTTTCCTTTACAGTCCTTTTAAGCCTATGCCCCCCCTTCATTTTTCCTTTACAGACCCTTTAAGTATATGCCCTCTTTCATTTTTTCTTTACTGTCCCTTTAACAAGGTTAAAAGGAATTTCGCTGAGTTATCTTAATAATCGGATTCGTTCGTACAATATGCTTTTAAAAACCGAGTGTAAAATACTTCTTTTTGTATCCTGCCTTTAAAATAGCAATGTCTTGCTCTTCTAAGGTTTAATTCCATTGCAAGTAGAAACTAGCAAGAACAATTTAATGATAATAGAAGATTTGTAAAATGGCTTTAATGTTCTGAAATAACAAAACAGAATATAATTTTTACAATCTCATTTTGTTATTGTCTTAAATATTCCTGATACAAAGGCTTAAGAGCGCCTTGTTTTATTGCCAAATAGAATAAATTCTTTTAATAAACCCCCCTATATTTCCTTCTTTTTGTGATACAAATCTATAACGTTTGATACATTTTTGGAAAGCCCTTGGGCTTTACTTTGATAATCTACGAAAAAATTGAATTTTTGAAAAGCCCTTACCACGGCGAATTCAAATATGCAAAAATGTTTGCAAAACTTTTAAAAACCTAATTTTCATTCAAAGAAAACTGAAAATGTGAAATTCCTTTAAAGGCAATCTGCTTCCTTTTGTTTAAGGCTTTCCAAGAGCTATACAAAGTCAAAATCCAATGACAAGTAGTAGGTCTAAATATAGATATAATCGGGTAACGGTATAATGTGGCATTCAGACAGTATGCCTGAGGGTATAAAAGCCCCTCTTTGAGCCTAAAGTGAGGGGCATGTGTAAGCTAAAAAAGTAAAAAAAATTGAGCAGCCTCGGACCAATACTTTTTGAGTTATTGCCAAAAAAAAACGTCAGCCGGAATCACTTCTTGTTCCCAAATACGTAGTGTGGATAAAACCTTGACTATTTTATAAATAAAGAAACAGAACTTTTTTCTTCAAGGTTTATTTGAATCTATTTTGAAACGAAAATTTTGTTGCTCATTGCTCAGACCTGACGCATATTAGTGTCAGGGTTGTACGAGTTTGAAACTTTCTTCCCCTGTAATATCTAGTAATATCTGTGTTAATCCTTAGTGAAAACTTAAAGATTTGAAACTATTAAAAGGTATCAAAAATTAATTGAAAAAAGTTGGATGTTTTTAAAGAGTTCTTTTCACTTTATTTAAATAATTTTCTTCTTAGCAAATTCAATTCAATTGAAAATGTTGTTTATTTATAAATTAAAAGCAGCTGATAGAACTAACTAAACCTTTAGAAAAAAGGGGTTCACAAAACCTGATTTTAGATTTAGAATTAGTTAAAACATTGTGATAATTTAGGTAAATTAAAATAAACAAACTTTTAAAATCTAATTGGTGTTTCATGTTGAATTAGTTACAGTTGGTGCACTGTTGAACTTTAATTTTAAGTTTTTTATCATGTTTTATTTTGTAGATGCAATAATTTTTTTTTTTTTTAGATGCAATAAATTTATCTTTTATTTTGTAGATGCAATAAATTCCTGCGGGCCCTTCCCTCCTACCCAGTAACTTCTTTCATCTGTGATAGAGAAGGGTGTGTGCACAAAGGACAACATTTAAATACAAAAACATATAACAGGTACAATACCCTTAACTCTTGCAGGGGTTTATTTACAGCCCATCTCATTGGTTAAACCCGTGGACCAATAAGAGATCAAGACACGGGTAGCCGTAGTAATTTTGAATTTCCGAGTCGGGTTAACCTTTCCGGTCCCTGTTTGTACTGTACCTAGGATAGGACTAGCTGGTGCAACAAGGTTGATGCGGTCAGACTTAATGCTTAATATAGTTGAATTTACTTTAACTAAAAGGACAGAGGTGCGGGAGGAATTGCCAAAATCCGCCAATAAAAGATTGACAAACTGACATACAATTTAATATCTAACAAATACAAGAGATTATTTACCAAATAGAATATCGATGATTAATATTCTTTACACATGGTTGTACATTCAGATACGATTATAATTTCTATCTGTGTTATTATCAGAAATAATCTTTATCTTTGTTATCCTGGGTTATATTCAGATATAATTGTTATCCTGTGTTATATTCAGATATAATTGTTATCTGTGTGATTTTGATCTGTGTTCTGATTGTGTGAACTGTATACTGGAGAATACAGGAAACCAGGTAAAATACTAAATTTGATTGAACAAAAAATAATTCGCATCTTTACTCTTTAAGGAGGACAAATATGTTTAGCAAAATATCTTTGGCTGGCAGTAATTGCAGTTGCAGTGTTTAAAAAATGTTTGTGCATATTTTCGAATAGGTTAGGTTAGAAAATCTGTGGTGGCATTTCTAATTTAAAAAATTAAAAAGATATTACGCAGCTTTTAATCGAAATTTTTTCGGTCCCAATAATATGATGTTATCCTAAATCCAATACTAGAGTAACACAATGTGTGAATTAGAATTAGCAGCAGACATAGAGAATAGAATATATATTAGAGGGAAATTTAAAGAATCTCTCGGTATGAATTTTTTCAGTCCCTTTCAGCCTGAAAGGGAGTTCAAAGTGTACAAATCATGTAAATGTTCACAAATTATTTGCAGTAGAGTACATTAATGCAGTATGTTTCCTAGAATATTCATTTCAATTTCGAATTTTTTAAACTGTTAAATAAACTTTATAATGAAATTGAATTAGGTGAATAAAAACATTATTTGATTTTTAATTATAACGGAAAATCATCGTTTGTAAAGTGGAAGGCATAGCGTCTATGTGAAATGATCATTGATCAATTATGAAACCAGCCTATTTCATAATTTGGTTTTCTTTTAACAATAATTTTAGATTTTCTATAAAATGATATTCCAGGGCCCAAAAGGTTATATAGCATAAATATGTGAAGTACACCTGCAGTATGGAAACAGTACAACAAAATGACCGTTTTACACTTTTTTCTAGTAAATTCCTCTCTAATATATATTCTATTCTCTATGGCAGCAGATAAATCAGGTCACTGCATGCTTATACAGGGATACCTACAAAGGATGAGTTTTAATGCAGAGACGACTGTACGAAATTTGTACTGTCTGTTTCCTCATATATATATATTCATGAATCACGATTCATCTCAACAATAAAATTTTGTCTTTCTTTGCAAGCCAAACAATTTAATTTCAAGACTTTATCCAAGCCAAAGTCCGAATTTAATGAATTTAAGCCGCATCTCAAATCCGCAAAAAAAACGGTTTCAATTGAGCGCCGGCTTAAATCTTGGAACATTGAATACAATTTTAGTGGAACCAATGATATTTGAGCAGCGTCTTAAATTTGAGCCACGGCTCAACTTCTTTAAACTCGGCCTCAACAAAATTTACTTAACCTTGGGAGATCGGCATATCTTTAAAGTTCAAGTCGTCTCTACAATCTCATCCTTTGTGAGTAACCCTGTATCTTATAGAAAAACGTTGAATATTAGATAAAAATATATTTTTTCCAGGAAAGAAAAAGTGAGAAGAGTGTAGACGAGGTTGAAATAGTCTCAATACATCATCAAACCAGGAATAGTGAATAATAATCATGACTACGTATAACTTATCCATATGTACACTTAGCTTGTCTGTTTGTTTGTAACCGATAAACGTCAAAACGGCTGAACCGATCGGGCCCGAATGTTTTCTTGGGACTTCAAATGACCCCAGGGAAGGTATATGGAATGGATGCTTAAATTACAAAAGTTAAATTTTTTTATAGTCTAATTTCTTTTGTTATTGTTTTTTATTGTACAAAGAGAAAATGCTCAAAAATTCAAAGTTGAAATAATAATTAGGCACTAATCGCTCAAAGAGAAAATTTTAGTTAGTTTAGTTTAAAAACTGGTGATTTTGGCTGAAATTTGATAATATATATAGTTCACATACAGTGATAACCAGAAAATTTTGAAATATGAAGACGACATTAAACCAATACTAAAGTGCATTTGATGTTGTTACAAAGCGAATACCTTTACTAGTAGTTATTAAATCACTTATTACATGAAATGGGTCTGTTTACCCTGCACAATTATTGTGCCTCAGGTTCATTTGAATATTTAAAGTCATAACTTGAGTCTAAAAGTCGACTTCCTATTCCAGAGTTTTCTGGTTATCACTGTAGAAAATTGTTTTGAGTTCATTATCAAATTTAGTCGTTTGAAAGCTTGACTTTTCTGTGATAATTGTTTTATAGCAAACTAAAAAATATACTCAAACACAATAATTTCTAAGAATTTTTTAAAAAAATTTTTATGTTGCTTTATGCGGTGCCCTTTGTAGGATCGCAAGGAGGGTGGTCCCTCTCTTGTAGGATCCCCCCCCCCGCTCAGTTACGGCCCCGGTTAACCTGCTTTTACCCAATCCCAATAATGAAAATTGTTCATCTATGAAAAAATCAGGGAAATTGAATATGTAGAAGACGACATTCCAGACTCGTCATTGGCGTATCTGACACCGAATGATTCTGAGTCTAGTTCTACCCGACAAACAAGGAACTAAACCAAACATTATTGAAGAAACTCTCCGTTGTAATTTCTCCTTCTGAAGGCGATTTACAACAATTAATTTTTATTTATCTGATCAAATATTTAGAAGATATTGTTGTTCTTTAAGTGCTTATATTCTGTTGATTTTCTCCATTCTTTCTGCAGCATAAATCCGCAATCTAAAAGAACAATCTTTCATGAAAACAAAAACATGGATCCGGATACCTCATTCATAATTGACCATGACAAAGCATTTAAGGGTCCTATAGTGAATCGAATAAGCATTGCCAAAAAACCATTGAAATAAATTAGAAACATTTATTGCAGCGTTTTTAGTTTGTGACGCAAAATTTTTAAATAAATTGAAAAAGTCTGAATACAACTTCATCGTTTACATGATAAAATATGTTTAGTTTTGTTTAGGAAAGTTTCCAAGAAAACCTCAACTTGCTCCGTTGAGATAGGAATTCAGACAACAGCATTCCCACATTATAGAACCACTTCATTCCCACAGTAGATCTTCTTCATTCCCACATTATAGAACCACTTCACTCCCACAGTAGATCTTTTTCATTCCCGTACATTATAGAACCACTTCATTTCCACAGTATAAACCACTTCATTCCCACAGTAGATCTTCTTCATTCCCACAGAGGATCTTCTTCATTCCCACACTATATAACCACTTCATTCTAACAGTAGATCTTCTTCATTCCCACATTATAGAACCACTTCATTCCCACAGTAAATGTTCTTCATTCCCACATTATGAACCCTCCTCCCTATTTAACTGTTCGGGTGGGCATCGTATAGGGTTTCTTGACGTTTGAAATGCTCCAAGAAGATGAAGTGTGTGATTGAACACATCGCAAAAACATTTTATGACGGAAAACGAAAAACGCTTTTAATAATCGTTTTGGTGAATATCTTTGATCAGAGTAAAATCGTTGAATGTAACAAAAGCAATTTTTAAATAGAATTTACATCTTAGATTCTTATAAAGCCTCTGAAAAGTATAAGAAATGTTAAATATTTAAAAACGGATCTCTGAAACGATGCCTATTTAAATGGTACACACTGTATCCTCTGCCTTCTTTCTCCTTTAAAGCTGTGTACGTCAATAAGTTAAGATAATAAGTTCGTAATTTGTAAATATCTGCATAGTTAAATGTTCAAACATTTCTTGAAATCACCAGCAAGTTCAAACTCAGAATCTTCCATCAATGTGCACAAAAAGGGGGGGGCCACAAAACGTATTACTCTCCGGAAACTTTAAACAGTGGTTAAACATAACTTAGAATTGTCGTAGGAGGCTGATTTTTTGCAAGCAAACTCAGAATTATGTATATTACTCCTTGTCCCAATTTTGCTATAGTTTGATGTGTCTCATGCAACTGTTATTCTAACTTAGGCCAAACTTAGCACACAAGTATTCAAAGATATTTTCTTTTATTGCGCGCGCGCGCGGACATTTAAGCCTTTGGAGGTGAATTTTTTTAGCGCAAATTTGTTTTAAGAGTGCCAGGAAAAATGTTCAAGTGCAATTAATCACAAAAAGCGTGCGGGCGCACTTTTGCTTAGATTCCTTCAAAACCAAAAAATGCATGTAATATACATAATTCTGAGTTTGCATGCAAAAAATCAGCCTCCTACGACAATTCTAAGTTATGTTTAACCACTGTTTAAATTTTCCGGAGAGTAATACGTTTTGTGGCCCCCCCCCCTTTTACTTTTGTACAGTGGTCTAATTTAAACTAATGGTCAATCTTAGTTACTTTCTATTTACTGTTCATTTACTGTTTGTATAAATTCAAAAGGATTTTAATCTCAAATACAGGGTTACCGACAAAAGATGAGACTGTAAAGACGACTCACAACTCTAAAAATATAGAGATTTGAAGCTTGATTTTTGGTTTCAGCATTCAACTGAGTATTTTGAAGGTTCACTTAATGATTAAGCACAGAAATAAGCCAGTTTTCGAATACAGAAACCCTAAATGCAAGAAAACGGACATAACAAATTCCGTACAATTTTGTCTTCGAAATCTCACCCTTTGTTGGAACCCTGTATTAATCCGATCTTGTTAAACAAAGAATGAGAATTCTAAACATACAACCGCACTTTTTTGTATCTCGCTTCAAAATGATTAATAAAATAGAAAAATGCGCGAATATCACATTTATTTTTTATGAAAGTGTATAAAAATATATAAATAATGTAGAAGGGGGTGAGAGCGGCCATATATATTAATATCTGCCCTGCTCCAACCCCTCTTAAATACAGAATACAGAGGGACAAATCTAGATTCTGAAGAATATAAGAATCCTCCAAAAAATCTAGAAATCTTCCCAATTTCAAAGCTTGCGGTGAATTTGTCGAGTAGTGTTTATTTGGTCAGCTCATCGGAATCCAAACTTGTTTCACAGATCTAAAAATAAATTTAAATTCTTTTTTCTGTTTTTTTTTGGAATTATGGAGTTTTTAGTGAAAAAAAACAAAATACTGAAAAACTTCAGAATTGAAACATTACTTGTCGAAATTCNCCATTATCCGTATATTACCTTTTAATCTATCTATCAACGGTGGTCTCAGGTTTGATCTCTACTCCGCTGCTAACAGTGTCGACACATTTCCATAATCCATAGGTTTTCCCAACCTCAGTCTAGAAAACAATCATTGCGAGAATATATTAGTGTTCAGTTCAGGAACCAGATACACTGGATCCTGTTCAGGACCCAGATAGAAGACAGTTCAGGACCCAGATAGAAGCCAGTTCAGTATCCAGATAGAAGTCAGTTTAGGACCCAGATAGAAGACAGTCCAGGACCCAGATACACTGGATCCTGTTCAGAACCCAAAAAGAAGACAGTTCAGTACCCGGAAGTCAGTTCAGTACCCAGAAACACTGGATCCAGTTCAGTACCCAGATAAATGTTAGTTCAGGACCCAGACAGAAGACAGTTCAGGACCCAGACAGAAGACAGTTTAGGACCCAGACAGAAGACAGTTCAGGACCCAGACAGAAGACAGTTCAGGACCCAGACAGAAGACAGTTCAGGACCCACATAGAAGACAGTTCAGGACCAAGATACACTGGATCCAATTTAGGACCCAGATAGAAGACAATTCAGGACCCAGATAGAAGACAGTTCAGGACCCAGATACACTGGATCCAGTTCAGGACCCAGATGGAAGACAGTTCAGTATCAAGATAGAAGACAGTACAGGACCAGAGTGGTATATATAGAATAGGGGAAAATAAATATTTTTTAGGAGGAAGCAAATTAATAATTTTGGATGATAAGGATTAAAATATGTAGAAAAAACTGTCACAATTGTTCGGCATCGCCTCAGCATTGTAATCATACTGGAAAATATATATTATATACCCGCGAGCAGTGCTTAGGATCCGGGTCCGGATATGTTGGATCTGAAAGAAGTCGGCATTCTGGATCCGGATCCGCAAAAATATGAGAATTTCACGGATCCGGCCGGATCCAAGGGGCAAAAGTCAACCAAAAATTAACAATAAAAAACTTTTTTACTCTTAAAACACAAATCTGAACGGGTGAAAAAATTTCTAGATCTATGAATATATAGTTCATCAAGTTTTAGCATAAAAATAAGCGAAAAAAAAGAACAAAAATAATTTGACATTTCTGCTTTGTTAAAAAAATTCAGTAAATCTGATAGAAATGTTCCTGACCTGGATCCGCATCAAAGTCAATTTAATGGATCCTTAGCACTCCGCGTGAATAGATGAACTAACCTGCCACAGACGGAGTGTACCGTCCTCGGAACCTGAAGCGTAGAGCTCTCCGTCAGGACTAAATCTAACACAATGGATCGGACCAAAGTGTCCCTTGAAGTTATCTAAATAAATAAGTTTTTATTTATTCAGTTCTTCAGGAAGGGGGGGGGGGGGGATGATTCGTGAAGGTTTGATTTTTAGTCTTGCTTTTACTGTTAAACCTTGCTTTGATTCACGGGTTTCACCTAGAGTTTTTTGGCAGATTTTAAATATCATTTGATTTATGAATTGATAACCTCAAATGCGGTCACGCTTTTAGCCCTATTGCAAAAAAATGTTGTTTTTATATGCATCTAATGTAGACAGGGGGGGGGGGCACTTCTAAAAAGTCAAAAATTAATCACCCTTAAAGGGACTGTGTGTAAGAGCAATTTCGAACGGTAGCTATTAATATTTCTCAGATATATAACATCTTGGAAACTTAGAATTAGGCAATGAAAATCTTTCCAGTATATTAATAGAAATATGTCAGATATCCGTCAAAGGTTTAGAGAGTACCGTTTTTAATCAGGGATGTACCTCTTTAAACTTAAAATTAGCTCACAATCCCTTTAATGAATATTGTAACATGAATACCTATCTCCACTCCAGTATTGTAATTATATTTGTATAGTTTGAGATCCTCTCCTCCACAAACAAATATCTTAAATAGTTAATAGTTGATTGATTGGTTGTTTGATGGATTGGATGGTTGGGTTGAATGGTGGGTGGGTTGGTCGGTAGATCGGAACTGGTCGATTAATGAAGGATGTAAGTTGATTGCTTTGTCAACTCAATTGTATTGTATTTTAAATCCTTTTTTTGACAGTTAAGCAAATTAAAAAAATTAAACATAAAAGATGAAAAATTATTGGAAAGCGCCAAAAATTTATATTTTAACCAATCTCAGAGAAGGGAAAATTGCTTATAGAATAATTTGTAATTATTTATGAAAAAATGGAAGTTGAAAATATTCAACTGATTTAATTTCGTTAAAAACTTTCTTTTTAACATTCGAACACTTTNTCTATATTATTGTGTGTTGGGGTAAAGAACAGGTTTTTTATAGCTTGTGCAAACCATTTTCAGAGATTTGTTATTAACATAACTTTTAAATAAAAGTTTACATTTAATTTTTTAACCATTTTCCTCTCTTTAACAGATAATTTTTTTATTCTTTTCAAAATAGTACTTCATTTCTAAACTTCTTTATTCATTTGTATGTTAATATGAATTATACTCACATTTTTGTCATGATGCAAAGATGCAGTATAAACTGCACAAGGAACACTAACCTCCCTAACCAAGTCCAAACTAAACAAAGACATTACAAATTTGATTTAAAAAACCATAGATTAATTAACAATAGCAGATAGAACACTAGATGTCGTCTTTTTAAGATTTAGGAGTTTTTCGTTCACAATAATCCTGAGGCAGAATCCCAAAGGAGTTCCGCGCAGGCTGCGCATACTCTCTCTCTGTCTTTTAATTCAACGCTGCCAGCGCGGAACTCCTTTGGGCTTCTTTCTCAGAGTTATTATGAAAAACCCCTAAATCTTGAAAAGACGACATCTAGTGTCCTATTGTTATTTTTGATTTATCTATGGTCTCTATAAACTTAAAACCAAAGCACTTGGTTATAATAGTCCTAGCATTAAAGAGATCTTTTAAAGTTTAGACGTTCGGAAATGCGACAGGGACCGATTTGCGAACAGATGATTCAAATTACCAATTTTGGGCTTCAAAGATAGTTCAGGACCGAAATAATTACAGAACATTACAAAGTGATTTTACCAGTGAAGATATTTTTTTTTGCATTTCACATTTATTGTAGGTTTTGTTTAAGAATTAAAAAACTCCAGTCAGTTATTTCAGAGAATGGATTTAGGTAAAAAAAATAAGATAATGAGAATTGGTTCTTCCTTCATTACTCAAATTTTTAAACGATTTTTTTTAATCCAAAACATGAAAACACACGAGTAATATGTTTTTACAGAGAGGCAATTGCAAACTTCAGGCCTTTTAAAAAAAAACCGTTAAAAAACATAAGAAAACTATTTTTTATCTTTGTCTAACATTTTAATAGGTGTTGAGATGGGGGGGGGGGGTTGGTCAGAGAATATAAATCATCCGTCAGAAGATGCTTACGTGTCTGTGTTGAGAAAAACAACTTTACGACCGACGGCCACAGTGATAATAGATCCATCCTTGCTGATCTCTAATCCTCCCATAGGATCAGAGAACTCTTTCCTATAGTAGGGTTATATATATTAACTCACCTGAATATTAGTAATATCAGTATCAGTATCCTATATTATAAATAACAAAAATACAACTCAATAACCGGTTATTATCTGATGTATAACTCACCTGAATATTGTTAATATCAGTATCAACAATCCTATACTATAAATAACAACAATACAACTCAATAACCGGTTATTATCTGGTGTATAACTCACCTGAATATTGTTAATATCAGTATCAACAATCCTATATTATAAATAACATCAATATAACTCAATAACCGGTTATTATCTGATGTATAACTGACCTGAATAGTATTAATATCAGTATCAGTATCCTATATTATAAATAACAACAATACAACTCAATAACCGGTTATTATCTGGTGTGTAACTCAACTGAATATTATTAATATCAGTATCAGTATCCTATATTATATACATCAATACAATACAACTCAATAACCGGTTATTATCTGGTGTGTAACTCAACTGAATATTATTAATATCAGTATCAGTATCCTATATTATATACATCAATACAACTCAATAACCGGTTATTATCTGGTGTGTAACTCACCTGAATATCATTAATATCAGTATCAGTATCCTATACTATAAATAACAATACAACTCAATAACCGGTTATTATCTAGTGTGTAACTCACCTGAATATCAATAATATCAGTATCAGTATCCTATATTATAAATAACAACAAAACAACTCAATAACCGGTTATTATCTAGTGTATAAATCACCTGAATAGTATTTATATCAGTATCAACATTCCTTTATTATAAATTATAACAATACAACTCATCACTCAATAACTTGTTATTATCTGGTGAATAACTCACCTAAATGATATTAATACCAGTATCAACAATTCAAGAAGAAAAAAACATTTTTTGAGTCATCTTATTTAGTCAAGAAAACTTATCACATTTAAGCAACCAACGTTGTAGGGTGATTAAGTGACTTTATCGCCCTACAACAGGGCGAAAAGCACCTTTTTCACCATGCTATTAAAATTTCAAATTTCATACCTAATTTGTCTAATTGTAGGGTGATAAAGTTACTCAATCACCCTAAAACAGGGTGATCAGGTAATTTTATCGACCTGCTTTTAAATAATTTGAGTAAAACTGAATAAAACTATAGATGTTATTGAAATGGGTATCATGCTGTGATTTTTATCTTTTCTAGTTTGTTTAAGATCAAAACGAAAGTATTTTCACACCGAAAAACTTTTTCGCACTTAATAATACCCATTACAATGACATAAATAGATATTTATCCTCCCAATCAACCAATTAACCTCAACCAGCCATCAAATCAAACACAAAGCCAACGCCTAAAAATATTGAAGAAAACAAATGATTTAAATAGAACCTGTTTTATTCCAGCTGTATGTCCCTCGAACTTAACTATAGGCTCTGAAGGTTGTTCCAGATCAAATATACGGAGAATCTTGTCGTTGCTGAAAATATTAATATTTTGTAAAATGTAAATATTTTTGTAAAATGTAAATATTTTTGTAAAATGTAAATATTTTTGTAAAATGTAAATATTTTTGTAAAATGTAAATATTTTTGTAAAATGTAAATATTTTTGTAAAATGTAAATATTTTTGTAAAATGTAAATATTTTTGTAAAATGTAAATATTTTTGTAAAATGTAAATATTTTTGTAAAATGTAAATATTTTTGTAAAATGTAAATATTTTTGTAAAATGTAAATATTTTTGTAAAATGTAAATATTTTTGTAAAATGTAAATATTTTTGTAAAATGTAAATATTTTTGTAAAATGTAAATATTTTTGTAAAATGTAAATATTTTTGTAAAATGTAAATATTTTTGTAAAATGTAAATATTTTTGTAAAATGTAAATATTTTTGTAAAATGTAAATATTTTTGNGTTAGAAATGTTTTTTTGTTTTGTATTAATTGCTAGGTTGGTGAAATAAAATATAAAATGATAAATGGAAAAAAATATTTTATTTTCAAGGAAACAATTTTTTTGAGAGTTCTCTGAAAATCTGATTTTAATATATTACGAGTAGTGAGTACATATCTAAGACTACAAACATAAATACAAATTTTTGAAATTAAGGACATTTGTAATTTACCAAAAAAAACTCTTTCTTTCTATTATTCTTTCATTTATTTCTACACAAGAAATTTATAAAAAAATTTTGTCAAATCTACGAGTTGAATTTTTAATACACCGGGGTGGTCTTAACCCTTTAAAGACAATTATATTTTCTGAGCTGGGAACTTTTGAATGGTGGATATCGGGATTAAGGCTTGATCCACTCTTTTTCTTAATCTCGAGATTAAATAATGCTTGTTCTCCTCTTGTTATTAATTTCCATATTAATAAACCGATCGGGATTAAGGATATCCCATTTTAAAGTTTTCAGCTCTGGTTTGATTTGGAAAAAACTGTAAATCCATCGAAACAATTTAATTTCCTTATAAAAGTCTTAAAAATATCAACAAAATCCACGAGATTTATATGTAACCCAGTTTTACTGATGGTCAACTTTACATTAAGTATTATTCATTGTGTCCTTCAGGAACATGCGAAAAGAAAAGCTTATCTGAGTTCCTAATCCTAATATTTAGGACATTTTTATAAAAGGGTCAACGATATTCTTAAGTTTGTTCCCAGGGCATTGTCCATAGATAAAAAATAAAAATAAAAAATCAAAAGGTAAGTTTAATAATTCTTTTTGATATTTTTTATCTCCTAAAAATCACTTCTTGAAAAAAAATATTTCTCAGATAGGGTCGGATGATTTTTAAAGAAAATATACATAATACACCCCTGTAAAGTTTTACCCCCCTGTAAAATTATATACCCCTGTAACTTTGGTTCCAATTTGATCACCTTTGCTGAGAAATCTGCGGCACCGGTTGCAGCTTTAGTAGCATCCTTGTTCACATCAACCTGACAAATAGTAAGATTTTTCTCAATTAAACTTTGCACAGGGGGCTATTGGAGCAGAGCCGGTCCTATGAATAGTTGCGGTTAAGGTTTCCAGGAGGTTTTAGCCCCCATTTAACTTTATTTTTGTAATTTTTTTATTTCAGGATAGCTTGTCTTTTTTTGGGCAAAAAAGAAAACTTGACTTTTTTAACTCATTTTAACTCCTTTGGATGTGACTTCATTGATGTTTGCTCAATTTTAAGAATATAATTTCACTCATGACTTTTTTACACAATCTTAGGGATGTTTTAACGCAGTGCTTAGGATCCATTTAATTTTGATGCGGATCCGGATCCTGATTCCGGACGAGAAAAAAATATCCGGATTCAGGTCATGATAATTTCTTTTACTGAATTATTTTAACAAAACTGAATTGTCAAACTATTTTTCTTCTTTTTTTTCACGTATTTTTATGCTAAAACTTGATGAACCATTCAGAGATCAGGAAAATTACAAAATATCTCTCTTTTCAACAGTTCAGATTTGGGGTTTGAGAGCATAACACTTTTTTGTTGCTGCAGTTTTTGTTTGATATTTAGCCCCTTGCATCCGGATCCGTGGATCCGTATATTTTTTCGGTTCCGGATCCGCATCTTTATCACTGTTTAACGTAGATGTATATGAATTGTATCCTACCCCCCAGACAGCTCCCTTGTGCCCCTCGAAGGTTCCAATCCAGTCTCCTGTTTCTCCCTGACGAAGCATAGGTTTACCATCTAAACACATAGACAAATATCAGCTAAACAAATTTAACTCCAGAATTTGTTTAGTCCTAGTTTAAGATTTTTGGACACCCGCCCCTTCATCAAAATCAGTATTTATTTTCTATTATTTTAGGGTTAGGTCAGGTTGAGACATTTTCTGGGCCGTGCGTTGAGGCCAGGAGTGAATAAGAGGCTAAGCGCTGCGAATAGAACAAATATGCCTTAAATGTTGTATACAAAAAAAGATATGAGGGGGAGAGAGGGGGGTCAAAAAATCCTATACTAAGAAATTACCCCATTTTTAGTTAATTCTTTGAAAGGATGATATATAAATAATATTTAGAAAAAATCCAATAAAAGCTCTAACCTGATATCAATATAATAATTAATAAAAATAATCAGCGTAAAATTGTTTTCTATCAGATATAGTTTCTATGAATTCTAACAGAGGAAAAAACTGAATTCTTCCTCGTTAATACTTGAGAACGCGAGGAAAACAACTGGTCTAGTATGTCCTGAGCAGGTTAATGGGGTTTGCCTTAGCGAGCTCATTTCGATTGTTTTTGTTTTGTTTCTATTGTTGATGAGAAATTTGATCGTCCCCCTCGTCCACACCGATCACCAGCAAGCTACTGACCGAGGGAAAGTGTTCACACACTTTCACCGGGAGGGGGATTTTTGTAGATTTATAATTTATCTTAGATTTATTTTCTGAAACATACAAAAATATTAGAAACAAAAAAGAAATGTTAAAAATAATTTCAGTGTTTTTGAGAAACTAGCTTTTCAAGAATGTCGTCTTTTCTAAAGAACTCTTTAAAATGAACAAATATAAATAAATACGATGTCGGTCAATAATTGTCCGTGTGTGTGCATGAGAACTTTTGAACCTTGACATTTCTGTACATTACAGGGCAAGTTTCAACAAAAATAAATTTACTTTAAAATGAAGCACAGAAACGTACGAATAAATATGAATTTCGATAAACATATCTTACAAATATTATAATGATCATAAAATCGCGTATAAAACGTCCGCGACAGTCGAAAAAGGTTTGCGAGAGCTTGAAAAATTTGATATGGTCGAATAGCCACTGACATCAACTTCATGTATTGCATGCGCGAAATGGGTCTTTCATTATTGTAAATTAATATAATTTCTGTTTCTTACGCCTTGAGTTTATAGCTATGCATTTCGATTAAAGCCTTAAAAATAACTTTTTTAAAACAATAATTGTTGTACTATGTAAGTGTACTGTGTATTATGTAGTGACAACTAGTGGTGTACACTGTACAGTGATACAATAGTGCATAAGAAAGTTTTTAAAGGGACTGCAGAGTGCAGAATGCTGCCGGTGAATATGCGCAGAAATTAGAAAGCCGTTCTGCGCATCGTACGATATTTTGAAACTGCCTCTCTGGGTTTCATTTTCAGACAAAATTCCCAAATCTATAAAACATGACTTATAAAAAAAATATCATATTTGGTTTTAAATGAATATGAAATTGCTAAACATCAGAAGATTTAAAAATAAATAATATTAAAATTTGTTTGGAAAAATGAAAACCTGAAAAGTTTAGTTGAAAAACCCAGTAGTTGCATGAGAATCCGCTACCAAACTGCAGTCAAGCTAGTAGAACTAGAAGCTAGGGAAACAAATCAGAAAATAATATTATTATGTAAAACTTTGCCTTTACTTTCGATTTGCTTTTCTGCAAGTTTATAACTGGGATCTTGTGAAAGTGAATTTGTGGTCGGACGTTTCGACTTTGTGACGTAATTCATGTAAAACATATGATCTATATTTTATCAAATAATGAACAAGGAACTCTTTAAGAGAGTTTTTTTATCTGCTATTTCATAAGCATTTCATACGCTTTTGCTAATATATTATTGTATATGTGAAGTACTAAATCTAGAGCTGTGAACTTTTTCTGGAATTAAAAAATTATCAGAAAATTGTTTTAGCCAAATCACTATAAACATTTAAATGCAATTAGCTTTTCCAATAATAGACCAGAATTCTGTTTAAATGATAAGGATTGAGGATACAGAAATCTGAATGAGGAACCTTTTTCCAAAACAGTTTGCAGTGATAGTTTTTTACGACTGAAAACGCAAGAATTGTATAAAAAGTAATTGCTCCTTTAACCTAACCCTAAATAAATACTAATTTAATTGAAAATTGTTGAAAAAGTGGTCATGTACAAAATTGATAGGAGGGGGGAGGGGGCGGGGTCCAAAAAAACGTTTTCTAGGACGGACTCCAATTTTCTCCCTCATACGTTTAAATTCGATTACCACCCCTTCCCCATCGCTAAATAAAACATACAACACGTGGAAGAATATTATTATAATATCTCCAGATGTTTTAGGGTAGATCACATCATGGAGTTGTAAATGTAAATGTGTTGTTGTAGTTTAGATTCTTGAAAAACTCGCTTTGTTAATTTTCTTTTTTCTAACTCTTCTGATTGACGGAGAGGGGGACGAGTCGACCCCTCTGATCAAGTTTATCTTTAATTTGTAATTAAATTCAGTATTTTCAAATTAAAATTAGTATAAAACAGGGGTCCATATATTTCCATTTCTGACTGGATCCGGATCCATTTTTTTCCAGTGTGGATCCAGGATCCGGATCCGCATCAAAATTAAATGAATCCTATAAAGTCTGTACAGTCGTCTCTGTGGGTAACCCTGTTGGTCGAATCTAGGCTCCTGCTAATTACTTTGCTGATCGTACAATTAATCATGTATATTTTATTGACCTAGTGGTTTTAAAACAAATATATATACTATTATAAGTAATTAGATAAAAAGTCTAAATTTATTTTAGCATCAGATTTAAAAATATTTATAATTTTTTAATAAAATAAATTTATTTTTTTTAGAGGTTTTCACATGCAGCCTGAAGTTACATTAATTCGCATAACAATTTGTTTCTACTTCAAATTAATTTTTTTTCAGACGCTTTTTTACATAACAATGTAAAGGTTGTGCTCTCTGTATATTTATATTTCTAAACATTGAATAAATTTGAAATTAAACAAGTTTCAGCAGAAACTGATTTAAGCACAAGCATGGGGGTTTTAGGGGAAGGTGTTCTCTATATTCTGAAGGTAACTATCAAATAAAAACATTTTTCAACAAAAAAACGCCCTGAAAAAAAGCAATAAAATCAAGACTAAGAAATAAATAAAACATTCGTACTTTTTATTGTTGCGCAAATCCGGATTGAAGAAAATGCCCGAACAATTTTATCTGGTTTTGTTTCGACTGAACCTTAATTGATACGTGAGTTATCGGCAATTTGGAAACTTTATCATAACTTTGGAAATAGGAATTGTGAGAATTTCCGATTTTTATATTCAACTTGTTTAATATTTTGTCTTAGCCGGATCCGGATTCTAGGAGGCAAAACCGGATCTTAATCTGTATATTTTTCAGGGTTTGATTTATATTTACGATATAATCAGCTTCCCAATCTACTACAGTGTCCAGGCTCCTTGGATAAGGTAATTCTCAATCAATCAACTAATCAATCGTTGATCAATAAATTAATTGAATTAAAAAATCAATTCACTAGAATTTCAACAGATATTTTAATGAGAAATATTTTTATATTATAGCTTTCAGTATCCTGATTCATTGATTAGTCATGCAATCCGTTGCTTGGTTGTTAGCCTTCTGGTTTTCAATTCCTACATATTTTATACAATAGGAACAACATAATTTAAATTCCACTGACGGTAAATTTATAGTTTGTGCCGGGTATACATTAAACAAAGCAAAAAGTGGAGGGGGAAAACGTATTTTTGATGCTTGATGGGGGGGGGGGCGTGGGGAGGGAATGGCCATTTAAAAGGATTGTTTTTTTCTTCCTTTTTATTACTTTTTTACCGAATAGTTGATTATTAAGAAAATGAACGCATAAAAATTAATTACCGGCTTAAACCTACCTTGCATCTGCGAAAATAGATGATTTTAGAGAAGGAGAGGGGGGGGGGAATTCAAGAAAATATACACCCCCATAGTATATCTTGATTTATTCAGACAAATCAGTTAGGAAGTTCAGGTTGTAACTTAACTATTCAGAAGAAGAAATAAAACAAATTTATTTTAAGAACGGAAAATTATTCAAATAGAAAATTATACAGGGTGTCCCAAAAAAAACGATCTTTAAGACATTGTAGCACTCGCCATGGTTCAATTTTTAAAAAATTGTACATTTTTTAAATCTTTGGAACATTTCCGATCGATTGATTTCAATTAGAGGTATGAAGCACCAAAATTTAGGAAGTATTGACCGTTTGAAGTTTGTCATTTGGGCTTGGTTGAAAATTGAAATTGACATTGTAATAGGTAAAACAAAAAATTATCACTGCATATTCATATTTTATTTCAATATATGAAAATTATGGTTTACAATTGCAAAAATGATATAGAATATTGATACAAATACATGTTTATGGTCTTTCTACTCAAAATGCCCCCCATGGTTTGCAATACATTTTTCTGCTCTATTCCTTACATCCATAACTGCTCTCCTGCACATATCAACGTCTACTCTAGCAACATGTCGAGATTTTCCACTGAGTGAATTTCCAGGACTTGTCTTACTATTCACATTGAGTATTGTCCCTAGCTCCATTGCCTTTTTATAAATTTTTCTGACATGACATAAAGCAGGCTGTCTTGCATTGAGAAATTTGCGCCCAAAGTCCATGATAAGACCAGGCATAGAGTTTCTGTGACCCATTATTAAACAATAATTGCGCATTTTTAAGATTGTTTAGAAGATTTGAATGTTTTTCAGACACTAATAAAATTCCATAATATTGTTAAAATTCGAAAAAATCAATTCATGAACTCAACCGAGCCAAAATGACAAACTTCGAACAGTCAATACTTTCTTAATTTTACTGCTACATACCTCTAATTGAATCAATCGAACGGAAATGTTCCAAAGATTTAAAAAATGTACAATTTTTTAAAAATTGAACCATGGCGAGTGCTACAATGTCTTGAAGATCGTTTTTTTGGGACACCGTGTATTGTTTTTTAAATTACTAGACTCTTCTAAATTAGTTGTGAACATGTTCCCTTTGTGTACATCGTAAAAAAAAACAAAAATAATTCGCGGATTTTCACAAAAATTTCGCGGATTTTCAAAATTTTAAAAAATTTAATGACGATCGAATTTTGATGGAGACAAATATTTAAAATTTCAATCATTCATAAACCTTCCCTGGGGTCCCTAGATGTTCCACAAAAAAAGTAATTGAAAGGAATTG